AGTTCTTTCTAAGGTATCTTTTTCTAAAGATGAAATCTTTATAGTCTTTTGGTGTGTTCTTGAAGTGGGTGTTGAAGGTGAACCTTGTTAGGGGCTTTGAGAAGTGTTATAAGTGAAGGTTGAGTCTTCAAGAGGTAACCCATGCTTTACAAAATCTATTTTACTTACCTATATGATGATTTCTTAACTTCTACATGTGATTTTGCTATGAAATGTGAGTGTTGATGCATTGTCTTATGAGAATGCATATCTAGAGCTTGTTATTAAGGTTCTTGTATGCCATTGCTTGGCTATTCCTTAATTCAAGTCATTTTGTTGTATTTGGTGAGATTTTGGATGTTTTGGACTTGAATTTGAGCTTGGTGTTGAAAATCCCCGAAGGGATGTTTTGGTACAGGGTATTGTACTCGCGGGCGGAACGGCGGGTAGAGCTCCACCCACCACCCCACCTGCAGGGTACACACCTCGTGGGACTTGGTTCCTGCGGGCAGAACCATGGGCGGGGGTCCACCCGCGGGTACAGTATGGTGGTTGTGTGGGAATTTGTTCGCCGTGATTCTTTTGACTCGGTATTTGGTGTTTTGACTTCCCGATGTTCTTTTGTGGAACTATTTGAGTGTCTTCTTGATGTTTCGTATGTCTAGAACTATATGGTAGGATTCCTTGTAGGTTTTGGTGTCTTGAATAGTGCTAAGTGTTCAACCTTGTGATTCGTTGAACCATGATGAGTCTTGTGTGTTCTTCGGAACTATGTTTAGTTTACCCGTTTGATAAGCATGCTAGTTCGGTGTTTAAATGCTAGCGTGTGTGGTTTGTTCTTTCCTATTGTGGATGATGACTTGTGTTGATCATCGTTGTTGTCGGATTGTGATCCTTTCCTTGTTGAGTATGGTTTCATATCTTCGTTGTGATCCGTTGATTGATTCCTATGATGGTGTCGTGTGTGTGGCTGTACTTGGATTGCACGATTAATGGTATGGGACATTAGTCACCAAGGTACGGCAGTGGTCCTCGTGGTGGCCATGACGCGAATACGGAGTTTGTGACCTGTGTGATGGGTTCACGTATTTCTTGGGAGGCATGTGTTGCCATGTGTGTGATCGGTACCCTCGTGTACTATGAATTGGTGGAAATTGTTGGTGGTTTGTTGGTGGATGGGGACGACGGTCCTTGAAGGAATAAGGTTGGACTCAGAATGATAGGAATATTTTTTTGTAATAAAGTTTTGATGAGCCAAATGTAATTTAGATCCCCTTAGTATTTAGGTCTTTAGTACAAGCATCATAATTCAGAATATCAAGTCAGTATGCAAAGGAAAGTCTACTACATGAAGAACAAAATTAATTGGGAGAATTAATTTTGGTCCTACAAGTATTCATTCGGAACTGAAGAACTAAACAATGGCGTTGCAAAGAAAAATCGGATGAGCCTAATGGCGAAATGGTAGAAGTCCGAAAAATCGGATGAGCCTAATGGCGAAATGGTAGAAGTCCTTACACACAATGATCACACCCGAGATTGATCACACCCGAGATTGATCCCCCCCAAGGACTTAATATTTATAAGCCGGATTTCAAAGAAGGAGCACAATGTTTCAAAAAGAAGCACAATCCCTCAAGTCAAACAAGCACAATGTGCCAAAGTCAAAGAAGTGAGATGAAAAAAGAACACAATCCTCCAAATCAGAAAAGCACAATGTTCAAGTCAAAGAAGCAAGAAGTGTCAAGTCAAACAAGCAAGAATTTATATTGATACATCTCACATGTCACAAGAATCCAAATTGCCTAAGATATGGTCAGAACGGTGAAAATTTTATGAAGGCATGGATAAAAGATCTTATCCTAGAAATAAATTCTATCAGAAGAACTTATTGCAAAAGAGACGTTGGAACTTCAAAATAGACAAGGAAAATAATATTTTAGAAGCAACTTAAAAATCAAGTTGAAATAAAATATTATCTTGTCAGGCAAGTTGACAATCAAATCATATTGAAGACCTACCATTGTCAACAATATCAGGCTATGAAGATTCAAAATTCAAATATCAAATTATCTCACTCCAACGGATATATTTGATTATCTATAAAAAGGCCATGAAGACTTGAAGAAAATATAGAGGTGAATACAAAAAAGGAGACGTGAATACACACGAGATAAAAAAGTGCAAGTGCTCAAATATTCTTTAGAGACTTAGTCTGAATAGTCTCAAAAATAGTTGGAGAGAGATACAATTACCTTTGTATTTGTAATTGTTAGAAGAGTATAGCTGTGTGCAAAATACTCTAGTGAGTGTAGCTGTGTGCGAAACACTCGGAGTTGCTAAGTGTAGTTGTGTGCAAAATACTTGGTTGGCGTTGAGTATAGCTGTGTGTGAAATACTCGTAGTTGAGTGTAGCTGTGTGCGACACACTCGGAGTTGGGTGTAGCTGTGTGCAACACATCCGGAAGAAGTGCTTGTGTAGCACTTATTCACTATTGTAACTGTGTGTGGAAAATAGTGAATTACTCCTAGAAGTGAATGGAGTAAAGTGGACTAGGAAGATTACGCCACTTCCGAACCACTATAAAAAACCTCTCTCATTTACATACTGCACTTACATAATCTATCTATCTATCTATCTTACCTGACTAACTCGTTTACTATTCACTGTTAATCTTAATCTTTCGGGTTTAGCATGTTTTCACGTATGCATGTCACTCAAACTTTCCGAGCTTAACCTTTGAATTATTCTAAGCAAGTTTGACGTATTGCATGTGACGTTCGTCATACGGTCGACGTGATACGATATCTTATTTATAATCTTGAATATTATTGTTAAATATTGAGTGAACCATCTCCCTTAAATATTCAAGATATTCATGTCATCCTCACACTTCCTCTAAGCTTATCATACACGTGCATGTGATTCAATTTATTAATTGGGCATAACTCTTTACATACATTTATTCCGCTGTGCAGTTCAAGCTTACTCTATTTACTTGTTACTTAGAGTTGAAGTTACCAAAGAGTTATTTAATTGTGAAAAAGCTTGAAAGTCTATTCACCCCCCCCCCCCGCCCCCCCCCCCCCCTCTAGACTTTCACCACCCTATCGGGACCAACACAGAAGTACAGGGGTCCTGGAGGTAAAGGTTGGTACTAGCTATAAGGTTGGGGGTAGCCATAAGTTTGGAACCGGGCATAAGGAAGGATTATGATTCGTGATGTGTGATGTCACGAAGGCATGTGTGCCCTTGTGTATTCCTCTATTCGTGATGAGTGATGTCACGAAGGCATGTTTTGCCAATATGTGTCTTTATTCTCTTGTGTTGAGCATGTCAGGTGATATTCTACTGAGTGATGGTAGAATATACCTTGAGCCTTACTTATGTTGTCGTTGTTTACTTCTTGTTGTCTTGGGATGTGTTCCCTTATTCTTATTGAGAGTGGTATAGAGTCTTGTGGTTGACTTCTATCTTTGGCTTTAAACTTATATATATTGTATCCCGTTTCAAAAATGATTTTGTATATACTATCTATGTAATACTTAACATGTATTGGTGGGTTACCAGCATTATTCGCTGACCGGGCGTCGTCCCATTTATTTATGTGTTTTTCTGGTCCCGAGTAGTGGCGAGCGCGATCTAATGTTGGATAGTGTAGTTCCCCGGACTTTACTAGCTTTGTTTTGGGCCTGTGAGCCTTTTATGTCAAACAGTAGATTGTTGTTGTTTCAACCTTGTCCCTTGTTAGACTGTTATGTGGATGTTGTTCTCGCCTGTGTGTTCACCTTAGCGTGGACGTGGAATAACATTCCTCGTTTTCCAGTTTATATAGTTAGACTTCCGTTGTGTATGCTTATATTGTGGTTAGATTATCTGCATATTTAAGTTTAAATTGACATGGAAATAGGGGGTGTTACACTGGGATCGATTACCATGGTTGAGAAACCCCCTTAGGCTTGGGATCGATTCTTATAGTCCAGAAACCGCCTTTTTTAGTTTTAGTTATTGTTGTTATGATTTGGAAAAATCGTTTAAGGTGAAATTTTAATTTCTAATCTCATAGTTAATAATTATAATCTCTTCCAATTGAGCAACTTCATCCTTTGAGAAATTATCTTGGATTATATAAAATATTATTTGGGCTTGAAGGGTTATTTATATTTAAAAGTATTTTTATAGAAAATCATAAATATGTTGAGAAGGGTTTAAACTACCAAAAGCTATGATTTACCAAGAAAGCTCTATTCCTAGAATTACATATATGTACTTATATGTTTTGGGAAATGTTAAACTTGATTTTGGGAATATGTACATATATAACTATGTATGAGGTATATATTTGATCATATAGATATTTGAAGCTTATTCTATCATTTCCTTAAAACTACTCAGTTATTAACATCTTATATTTTGGAAAATACTATGTACCTCTAGAAAGATTTTACTAAGAACTTTTGATCTATAAAGTGTATAACCCTTGGACTCCCACCTCTTTATTTATGACTCTGTAAAGTCAAAATGTTAGTGAAAATGCTTAGAAATGCTAGACTATTGATATTGTTGAGTTATTAGTGATCTATGTTTGTGTTATTGAGGTGGATTGCTCTGAGTTTTGTTACAGGTGAAGAGAAACCGCACTGGTGCACAGACAGTGTGCACCAGGTTGAGTCACGAAGCTAGTCAACGGTCCTAGGCTAGGACCGTTGGCAAGCCCCGTGAAGGAACGGCCCTAGGGCACGGTTCTCAGCTAGAACCGTGGCCCTAGGCCGCTGCTTGGCGGGGCTCCTCAAGCCCCGCCGCAAGCTCCGCCAGGCCAATCCAGTGCAGTGGCCGGGCCCTTTGTAGCTCAGCTACGTGTCGTTCGGACCGGGACTCGCGGGCCCTTGAGGCTCGTACACTCGGGATCATTACGACGAATTAGTAGAATTTGACTTCATTGAATTTGGAGTTGAAATGAGTAATTTACAGTAGAATTTGTGTTGATTTATGCTATAGAAGTAATCTGTGTATTACTTACAGAGAAGGAAAATGTGAAGTATTTAGACTTAGCTATTTTTTTTTTGAAGGTCAATCTTGCGATTGTATTAATGAATCAAAGCCGAAATAGTGTCAGGTGGGATAGCATCCCAATACATAGCTTGATCCTGAGTAAATGCTAACGTAGCTAAAGCATGTGCATGTAAATTAACCTGTCTAGAAATATAATCCAAAGTAATACGATTAAAAAACGACATAAACGTCCTGCACTGGTCAACTGTGACCCCAACGTACGAATGTATCGGCATGTGATGGTGCCTGAATATCGCTGCCAAGTTCCATGCAATCCGTGAGTAAACTTACTGATGTGGTGTCCCGTTCAAGTAGCCAGGACAAAGCCTCCTTGTATGCCTGAGCCTCCGCCATAAGTGGTGAAAAACAAACTGGTAATTTGCCATTCCTTGCTGCCACAAACGAGCCATCTAGCGCTATAATTACCATGCCGTAAGTAGCCTCGCCCGTGTCGTGCCGGAAACCCGCGTCCACATAACATCGTAGACCACCCCCTCCTGGACCATTCACGTGGTCCGTCGCTGGTGTCGGGTTGGTTCGGCCAACATGAGCAGTGCCGTACGCCTGTAGTGCCACGGTGGCTGCTTTGACCAACTGGGTAGGCCGCATCATTGATCCCTTCCAGACAGCTGAATTCCGGGTTCTCCAAATATAATATAATACTGCTACCATTAACCGGATCTGCTCCTCCGTCAAGACTGTCATAACCCCTTTGAGCCATGTTGTAAACGAGTCTGCAATAATATTAATAATAGGTAACTGTGTTATATTCCAAACAAGTCTAGAATATTCACAGAGCACTAAAGCATGCAACACATCTTCATGATCTAAACCACACATAGGGCAAGTTGGGTCCACCTCCACCCTTTTAAATATCAAGTTAAGGGTTGTTGGCAAAATATCACATATGGCTCTCCACAAAAAAGTTTTCCATTTCGGAGGTACTTTTATTTTCCACATTGCGATCCACTTATCAAAATTCGCTGGATTATTCTCATAATCTCCCACAATATGCCTGTAGGCATTCTTTACTGTATATGTCCCCTTTGGGTCACTCATCCAATACCATGAATCCTCATACTCAGGACTAACAGGGATCATATTTATTCGCTTCACATCTTCAGGAATAAATAAATCAGACAGAATATGCGGATCCCAGGTATGAGTCTGTGAATCAATTAGTCCTGCAACTCGCGCCTCTCTCAATTGTTGTGGTATTTCTGTTTGAATCAATGGGCTAGGATTATCTCGTAACCACGGGTGTCCCCATATTAGGGTTGTCTGTCCATTCCCAATCCTCCTTCGCACCCCTGAGACTACCATTGCATGGGCCGCCATTATACTTTTCCAACAATAACTCGGGCAATTACCAATAGTTGCATCTGTAAAACTGGTTGTGGGATAATACCTTGCCTTATAGATTTTGGCTACGAGTGTTTCCGGGTCTGTTAAAAACCGCCATGCCTGTTTACCTAGCATTGCTATATTAAAAGCCCTCAGCTCTTTAAAACCCATACCGCCATACTTTTTTGGTATGCACAACCTGTCCCATGCCTTCCAATGTATTCCCCTTTCTCTTCCATTGCCCCACCAATATTTATTCATTGTTCGCTCAATTGACTGACAAACTGTCTCAGGCAACAAAAAAACACTCATTGAAAAGGTAGGCATAGATTGTGCTACACTTTTCAATAATACTTCCTTACCAGCCTGGGAGAGTAGCTTTTTACTCCACGAACCAATTCGTTGCCTGATTTTTTCCTCCACATACGAAAAAACAGCTATCTTATTTCTCCCTACAAAAGATGGTAGGCCCAGATATTTCCCAAAATTGGGTGCTTGCACCACCCCCAGACAATTCGCCACCTGTATCCTGTCAGCCTCCTGGGTATTTCTGCTAAAACATATATTTGATTTACTATAATTCACTACCTGGCCTGACAATTTCTCATACCTTACAAGGCACTGCCTTATAACTCCTGCCTCCTGGATATTTGCTTTAAAAAATAGGAGACTATCATCCGCAAAAAATAGGTGTGATACACGCGGTGCCCCCCTTGCTACTCTGCACCCATGTATTAAACCTGCCAACTGTTCATACTGTAATATCATCGAGAGAGCCTCTGCACAAATAATAAATAAATATGGAGAGAGCGGGTCTCCCTGCCTGAGTCCCCGGTTGGTTTTACGTGCCCCCCTTCTATACCATTAATCATTACAGTATAATTAACAGTCGTTACACACATCATAATGAGCTTCACCCACTTCTCACTAAAACCCATAACAGTCAGCATTCTTTCCAGAAAGTTCCACTCTATTCTATCGTAGGCCTTTGACATATCTAGCTTTAATGCACTCCATCCCACTATACCACATTGCTTTCTATTCAGATAATGCCCCACCTCCGCTGCGACCAGGATATTATCCGTGATTAGCCTTCCCGGGATAAAAGCACTCTGGGATTCTAAGATCAATCCCCCCATCAATGTTTTCATCCTGTTTGCTATCATCTTAGCCATAATTCTGTAAATGACATTACTCAGCGCGATCGGCCTTAAATCTGCTACTGTCTCAGGCATCTCTTTCTTCGGTATCAAGACAATGTTAGTATCATTCAATCCTTTAGGGAATACACAGGAATTCAAGGCATTAATTATACAACCAGATACATCTCCTCCCACTATCCCCCAAAACTGCTGGTAGAAACCCGGATTCATCCCATCCGGCCCCGGTGCCTTATCCGGATACATTGAAAAAAGAGCCTCTTTAACCTCATTAGTTTCAAAAGGGCGGTCTAGCATCATATTCTGGTCCAACGTTACACGTGGGGTTAGGCTCCAAAAAGTGGATCATTACAACTCAGTCCATTTGAGGCAAAAATATTTTCAAAATAATTCTGTATAACAGCATGCATATCATCCCCCTCCACCCAGTTACCAGCATCACATTTAATAGTAGAAATAAAATTCTTTTTCCGGCGTGCAGAAGCATACCTGTGATAAAATTTTGTATTCGCATCAGCCCCGCGTAGCCAGTGTTGCTTGGCCCGCTGCCTCCAAAACACATCATCCTGGGCCTCTACTCGTTTCATGGTATTCTCAATCTGTTGGTACTCAGCGAGAGCTACCAAATCCCGTCTATTCCGTATGGCATCTTGCCTCTGTTGCAGGTGGTTAATGCGCTTTCCAAATTTATGGAACTGATCCCCACCCCACCGCATCAACTTTTCTCCACACAACTGCTGGCAATGCAGCAATCCCTCCGTTCTCCCCTCTTGCCAGGCCGTTTCTACTACTCCTTTGCACCCCTCATCTAATAGCCAAGCCATTTCAAATCTGAACTTCCGCGGTCCCCTTCTCCTTGGTATGCAAATCGCATTAATACTGAGGAATAGGATCGAATGATCCGATGCCCGAGTTCAAATATTTTCCAGCATTGCATTCTCATTGAGCAGCCCCCAATCATTCGTTATTAAAGCCTTATCCAATCTTTCTTCTATCCAATTCGGCGTCCCCTTCCCCTTCTGCCACGTATACTGATGGCCCCTCATTGGCATTTGCATCAAACCACAGTCATCCACAGCATCTCCGAAACCCCGTAACAGACTATTAGGATACGGATTTCCCCCCTTCTTCTCATGCTGATATAGTAGATTATTAAAATCCCCTATCACCACCCAGGGCAATATGGATCTAGTCTTGAGAGTACCAAGTAACTTCCATGTCTCCTCCCGCCTACTACGCTCGGGGATACCATAAATGCATGTCATGCGCCATAACTTATTAAACAAGCTTACCTCCACATCAATATGACTTTGCGAATAGCTTAAAAATCTCACCGTATTATTCTTCTTCCACAAAAGCGCCATTCCCCACTCAAACCATCGTTATCAACATAAAACAAACCTTCATAGCCAAGCGTAACCCGGATCCGTTCTGCATGTATCCATGGTACATTGGTCTCCATCAAAAATACAAAATCAGGCTTCTTACTGGACGCAAGGCCCACAATCTGTCGAACTGTGCGTGGATTGCCCAAGCCACGACAGTTCCAGCTCAAAGTACTCATGATGATGGGCGGGGTTGGACACCAGCTCCCGCCATGGACAAGTTTTTTGAACCAGCTATGACTGTTACCTCCTCGTTTCCACTTTCCTCCTCCCCCTCCGTCCCATGCCTACGACGCTTTGCCGTAGCTACCACTACCTCATCTTCAGACATACTCGTGGGTGCGATATCCCCACCTCCCTAACCCCCATCCACCGTCCCAATCACACGTGGCCTGGCTCCTAGTGGTCGTGGTTTCCCGCCGACCGGAACAAGCCAGTTATCCCCAACCGCTCTAGGAGCGCTCCGGGATCCACCAGCTCGCATATCCGGACCGTACAGGTACCTTTCTACCGAAATTCCAGCGTCCCTAGCGTGTATGCAGAAAGTATGCAAATGACCCATACACCCACAGAAATAGCAAAACTTATGCAGTCGTTCATATCTAAAATTTACCCATGCTGTGGTCCCATCTCTCTTCATCAACCTCATCCTCCTTCTAAGCGGCCTATCAACCGAGATTGAGACCCGAATACGGTGAAACGTAAGCCATGGCGCCCCCTCAAATCGGTCATCATGTTTGACAAAAGTGCCCAAGAAATTCCCCGCCTGTTCAAGAATTGCATGCGACGTGTATCCCTTTGGCATATCATGCAACTGTACCCACATGGCATAGACTTAGCTATTTGAATGAGAAGCATGACAATTATTTGATTGTTGGATTAAGAAGCATGATCATTATTTGCTAAGTTTGCTTGATTAACATGTTTAAATAACCATTGTGAGTTATTTAGATTATTGTCAAGAATTTGAGATATTTGGTTGTACAGTGCATGAACTTATTTGTCCAGTAGAGTGAAATATTAGAGCATGATGTCTATTTTGAATTCAAGAGCATGATCAATACTTGATGAGTATTTGCTAAGAAGTTTTGACATCTATGAAGTGATAAGCATGAAATAGCACATTGTTGGCTTAAAGTGTAGTCAAAGAGAATTTGAGATATTCTTTATAGTAAAAGAGCATGTTTAGTATATCATGAACTTAAGTGCATTAGCGGCTCTAAGTAAGCCTAAGTATTCTTTCAAAACCTATATCTATTTTGGAAAATCATTATCTAGCTGCATTATATTGAGAAGTTGCATGATATCTGATTTTCATTTTGTAAGAAAAGAGAAGTTGTTGAGAAGCTATGTGCATAAATTTACATAAGTAAAGTTGTTGCATGAGAATAAAATAATTTCTATATGTACCTAAAGTGAGTAATCTGAAACGAGAAAATAAATAATCCAGGAAATATCTTTTAGCTAAAAATGTAATACCAAAATAAATATTATGACTTCCAGAAGTGTTAAACGGCATCAAATCATAATATTGGCAAATAATCGAACTCTTACTTGGAATTGTCAAAAATAACAAATTGGCATAGCCGTTGATTGTAGTTTTCTTTAAAGTATCGCTGACTTTATGTATAGTATTTGAGTAGATGTTGTTGGGTTGACGCTTTGAGGATTGAGTCTAACATCTTATTATTAAAATAAAAATATCTTTATTATTAGATATAACTTTTGACATAATTGTTTGGGCTTATCTACACAATTGGTATCGTAGCAGGTAAGAAATTAGGGTGGGAAACCGTAGATCATAACACCATCATTTTTTTTTTTTTTTTTTGAATGCTACTGACTCTATAACACCATCATTCTAATCATTCTTTTAGTTATCAATTAATTTATTATAATTTGGTATACCTTCATCTTATTCAAATTTAAAAAAGAAATAAAACGTTAATTATACTCTTGAAAATATATACTTTAACGTGCTAACAATCTATATTGACTGATCAGAATAAAACAAGTAAAAAAAAAAAAATTTTGAATTAATAATTAGTGAAACACTCAAACACTTAAAAATATAAAATAAATGACCAAAACTTGTGTAGTTGTGTGACCATGCGACCATGTCGGATTGTAGTCAATTGAGTGTGTATCTATTACAATTTCAATTATAAATATAACAATATTTATCGTTAATAACAATCAAAATTTTACCCTACAATAGTACAAAATTGTTAATCAACAACTCTTGTACAAGAGTATTCGCGCATATGATGGGGTTAGAAAAGCCAAAACCTACTTTTAAAAAAATTAATTTAAAAGCAAATACATAATTTTTCAAAACTAACACAACAAAACCAACATAACAATATACTCTTCACAATAACACAATAATATACTCTTTTTTTTTTTTTTGAATGCTACTAGCTCTATTACATTGTAGTATCTGTTCATATACTTTCTCAACCTACTGAAACACAAAGAGCTAATAACGCCTCCACTGAGGCTCGAACTTACAATCTTCCAAATGGAAGTCCAACCCGGGTACCATTGGACCACATAGTCCTGGTCAATAATATACTCTTAATTTCACAATTATAAAAAAACCTAACACAATATATTATCACAATACTTACTATCAACACAATATATCATCACAATACTTACTATCGACACAATAATCAGAATCAACACACATTTAAAATTAAAATCAAGATAATTGCTCAATATGACATTATATATCAATTAGTAACGTACAATACTTGACTAATTAAGATAAAAGATACTATTTAATAATAATAATAATAATAATAATAATAATAATAAAAATAAAAAGTTACACGCACTCTTCTAAATAAAAAGTTACACGCACTCTTCTAAAAAGTGTTTTGCCCACAAGTCTCGAATCTCATCTACTTCGTCGAAAGAGTACGGATTTTGTTCAAATACCTACAAAATAATTTAATTTAATTAAATTATTAAATATGTTGATTAATAAATTATAATTTATTTATAAATAGTTCTATTTAATTTCACTTACCTCATCTAAACAATTGATCGATGAATATTTTGTCACCATCTCATACATGTATCGCAATACATAATATCCACACTCAACACCTCCCGGTTGTTGCGGACACTACAAAATGTATATATATATTTTAGTAGTTGAAACAATAAATAAAAAATTAAAATATCATTTTAAAACTTTAATTTTCATACTTTGCATTGCTTCCAATTGACAGCCCTAGGCCCTCGTCCGTTTGTAGGAAGAGATCGAAATGCCCTATATTAATTATAAATATGTATAAGAATTTATAAATAATATAATAAAATTTAAAATACTTATATTAATGATAAAATATTTACTTACATATTCACACAAGGTTTAACTTCAATGGTGCGATTACAAGCCTTGGGATCAAACACATATACGGTTCTTGAGCATACGCAAATCACAAGAAGTAACCAATGGTGTCTACATAAAAAACACACATATTAAAAGTTTAATATCACAAATATTTCAAATAAAGTTATTAAGTTATATTAATAAAGTAAAAGAACCATTTTTCCTTACTTTTGATGATATGGTGCTAAAATGAATTGTTCATTCTTGTGCTGGTCCATGACATGAATGAGATATGTCGTAACGGCAGCACAATTTAAGTTAACCATATCCTCTGAAATCTGAGTTGGACACGCAAATCCGATTGACGTGACTCCAAACTCATTACATAATCGATTAAGAAATCTGAAAATTAACAAAATAAGAAACTTTAATAAACACAAAAAATTAAATGTATATAAAACACAAGAATAAATACAAACTTACAATATAAACACTTGTATAATTGAGACGTCAAGCCAATTCATCGTCAATAAATCCTGTATATCCTCCATCATCACATAAATATAACCCATGTTTCTATGATGGAAGATTATTTGATCTATCTCCAAATCAATGTAGTCTTTACCAAAAGGTAAAAATGCCAATAAATTGACTAACTGCTTGCAATTGTCTCCCAAGAATTGTAAAACATCATCGCCAACAATTGGAGGTCGTGTACCAATAGTTCGTTCACCACTTTGATTTTCATTTTTTTTTATTTTGCCTTGGTGAACTTATTTTGATATTTTCCTACAAATATAAAAGTACAGTTAGTAATTATTTAAAATATAAACAACAAAAACTAACTTAATAAATAAATATAAAAATGCATACATCATTTAAAATAACTAAATGCATACGCCATTGTGCAAAACTTGCCATGATTTCTCCCACAATGGCATAATACTGAGTTGGCACGAGGAGTTTAAATTCCTCTGCACAACCAACTACCTCACCACCCAAAACTTTGACACAACCAACTACCTCACCACCCAAAACTTTGACACAATTAGGTATCAACAGCTAATGATGAACCACAATCTCATCTATAGTCGAGTGAACCACACCCTTTGCAACAACAATTGGTGTATCACCAGGGCATATTGCAAGACGAAAAGAAAATGATATTTTGATTATTAAAAAACTTTTAATATTACCTTAATTGTAGTAATTGGATATGCATCAATTGAATGAGAACTGCTACGGATAGGAGATGGATCAAAAGGCACATGGACACTTTGAGGAGTGCCAACCATAGCATCTTGTGGAAGTAGATGATTCGTCGACATGTTCCTCATCAAAATATTGAGTTGCTGGTTGAGGATATCGATCTTGGATTGCACATTTGCCACTGTATCTTGCTTGCATTTCTCTATCAATTTTTTGGCATCATCAACCGTAATAACTTGTTTTCGCTCTGGTTTACCAAACACAGCCCGTATGGTGGTGTATGAACCAACTCCTCTTACAGAACCCGTATAATCTTCCTTACCAAGAGCTGCTGACAATATATCATGATGTCTTTTCGGTTGAAATGACCCGTGACTAACTTCTTCACATTTGTCTACCTGTTCCAACAAATAAGATAAGTCAAGTATTAATATATGAATATTATGTATTATTATGACAATTTTTTAAAAATAGTACTTACAATTTTATGAAACACTTCCTTTGTTTTTTCATTCGGAATGTAATAACTTCCATCTTTTGATTTTTTGACTCTTGCTCGTACCCAATCAAAACTACGATCCTCACACACCAAGGAAGAGCTAATAGATGCACACGAAGGTTGTGAAGATAGAGGATCTGATATCATCCACTCTAGCCGTTTACCTGCATATCCAGCAGAACCTAAGAAGTGTGGATGCTCATTTAACGCCCGTCGTTCCCTCGCCTTCTGACTTTTTTCCTATAATTTCATCGATATGTTAATATAAATAAAACACTTGAACTACTTATAATTAAATGAGCTAAATATACCTTAAATTGCTCGCTTTCCCGTTCTGCAACAAATCTTGCCCATTGCTCTTCAGTCAAGTAGTCATAAACCTGTACGGGTGATTCATAATTTGGGTGCTTATTGATAACATATTCACGTAGCAATCTACTTTTGAAATCTTTCCACCTCGATGATGCAATTTTCAACACCACATTCTTCTTGGAATCATCTTGAATAGCAAACTCTTTCTAAATAACAAAATACACATATGCAATGAGTATAGATAATTATACTTATATCAATAATTGACAATTAATATAAAGTTATTCAATACCTTAACCTCTTTCCAAATCGTATCCTTAATGCATTGATCTACACTACGCCAATTATTGACGTTGATATCTACTTGAGAACGAACCGAAATCCCAATATAAGACACAAATTGTTTCGAATATGGTCCGATTGGCCTATTGTACTCATCAAATTCAATTGAAACATCTTCTGTCTTCTTCTTCTTCTTCAAATTTTTGCAAGCGTTGGGGCCTCTAGTGTTGGGGCCTCTTCTTTTAGGCGCAGACACAGATGTAGGGTCTGAAGCAGGGATAGATGCAGATGTAGGGTCTGAAGCAGGGGTAGATGCAGATGTAGGGTCTAAAGCAGGGGTAGATGCAGATGTAGGGTCTGAAGCAGGGGTAGATGCAGACTGATCAGACATTGTTGTCTTTGCTTTGTAGATTGAATTAGAAAGTTCATTATCACTAGGAAGCATGTCTTTTAGTAATTCTAATAATCCAGTGAAACTCTTATCGCTCCATCCATTCTTTGTTTTTAAATAATACAATTTAAGCGCAGCAGATAACTCAGTAAATTTAGTACATCCAGAGTACAAAGGTTTTTCAACATTGTCAAACAATCTTTTAAATTCCGGAGGCATTTCACTAAAATCTCCTTGCACATCATGCATCATTTCATCCATTCGGTCATTATCTTCATCATTCTCATCACTGCTAGCACGATTTTCATCATTCTCTTTATTATTTGCATTAGTTTGACTATTTGCATGAGTGTCACTTTCTTCATGAGATCCACTGTTTACATGATCTTCATTCTCGGTAGCACTTATACTAGGAAGTAAGTTTTCACCATGCCATACCCATCGACTATACCCTTTCTTAAAACCACGGCGTATCAAATGACTCTTCACTTGCTCAGAAGTACGAAATCCTCTCAAATTTTTACAATCACAACACGGGCAGACTATAAATTCTTCCACTTTATTACTTTTATTTTTTTCAGCATATTGTATAAACTCTTGAACCCCTTGCATATATTTAAGTGTAGTGCGTTTCTCATACATCCAACTTCGATCCATATCTGTTAATTGATAAAATGCTAATCTGAGTACTGTAGAGATATGAAAATTCGATGATGGACGCATTTAGAAACGATATTAGATAATTTGAATTGAAATCAAAGTACCTAATTCGTAATCAAAGAACCTAATCCGTCCACTTGATACTTGCTCAAGATCGAAAATATAATGTCAAGAAATATATTATATTGGAGATTATATATATAGGCCTTTTCGAAAAATCAAAATTCAGCTGGTCTTGATTGAGAAGCCTTTAACTTTATGTGAACAAAATTAAAGATCGATCTTAGCAAGTTAGAGAAAATTAAAATTAAGACTTAAGACTGTTAAAAAAAATTACCATCCCTTAAACAAGCTAAGGTATTAATTAAATTAAAGAATGAAAATATAATTCCATCTGCCAAGAAGCTAGATCCATGATAGATATTCTCACATCTTCCAGAAGCCAAATGTTTTCAAAGTTTGATCTAAATTACAGGCTGGATTCTGACAGGTTGAATATAATTTAGGCACACCAGATCAGATACAAAACTGAATTTTGTATTCTAAATAGATCAGATATATTAACAATGGATGATAAAGGCTTTAATTTTGGGCTCAAAATGTAAGTACGGGTTTTAGTCAATTGCAAATGGCTATGAATATTGAATAGAATCCTTGAACAACTATTGCTCAACACCATAAATAAATTGAACTGAACTGTTCGAATAATTTGAAGACTTTGAGGTAATCAACATAAGTTAGGCTATCTTTCATGCTTCCATAAATAAATAAAAAAATTAAAAAAAAATAGCAGATTATGATGCAACTGATTGAGGTAATCAACATAACGGGAAGGCGAAGACAGATCAGAGGAAGCGATTCATGCACAAAAAACGGGAATTCAACATACAGATTACAGAAGTGGAGGAATATAATACCTTAAGAGAGAAGGAGAGAAGCAGATCTGAAGGCGTAGCGACGTACGGGGACGGCAACGGCGACGGAGACAGATCTGAAGGCGCAGACAGATCAGAGGAGGCGACGGAGACGGTGGTGTTGTCCGACGACGGAGACAGATGGACGGCGACAGATCTGTGTGGTAGCTGTAGGCCGGAAAGTATGTAAGCGACGGCGACGGCGACGGCGACGGCGACGGCGACGGCGACGGCGGAGTATGTAAGCGAGAGATCTGTATTACGCTAGGGCTTAGGGGGTTAGATACTTAGATGTGTTTTTACGCGACTATCCGCGACTACTTGGCTGAAACGGTAGCGCAAGTTTTTTTTTTTCTTTTTAAATTAATATTTTTGCGACCCTTTCTTCCAAAAAAAGAAGTAAGGGTAGTGGAAAAAATATTTAATAATTTTTTATTGAAAATATTAATTTTTGGTCCCTTGACTATTATAGCTGAAACACAATTAATTTTTGACTATTACTTTTTTCAAATTAGGTGTGGCTTTCTAATTAGTATCAGATTTGGTCTCCTGGTCTAATTTTTCAACCAAATATTACTGGAATTCTACCGAAAAATAATATGTTGTAATTAGAAGGGTATTTTGGTCCTTTCAATTTTTTTAGGTAAAAGGCACAAATGTGCCATTTAACTATTTGGGAGATAGCACCTGAGCCACCGAACTCGAATAAGCTCTAAATTCATCCATGAACTTGAAAAAAAAAAGTACAATTAGCATTTTTAGCAGGCTAATAATAGGTTTGGATTACCATGTGTATATTTTATTTTATATTTTATTATTTTTATTATCCTACTAAGCATTTGACCCTCTTTTGTAATGTCATGTTTTCTTAATTTTATTTCCTGACGTGTCGGATACTATATTTAAAAATAATTTTTTAAATTTATTTTAATAATTTCAAATAAAATAATTATTTTTAACAAAAAAATAATAATTCAATGACCTATTTGGGTGGCTTAATTGCTATCTCTAAATAATTCAATGAGTAAATACTCAAAATGGTCTCTCGACTATAGCTAAATTCACAAATTGGTCCTCAGCTTTCAATTTCACCCAATTAAGTCCTTAACTTTGCAAATTTGACATGATTTGGTCCTCCATCTAATTGACCGCTTGTTGACCGTGATCGACGATCTCCAGAAGAACCTTCAACTCTCGTCGGAGCACGTGGAGGCCTCCAGGATGACGTTGCACCAGTTCGGAAACACGTCGTCTTCTTCGCTCTGGTACGAATTCAACTACATTGAATCCAAAGGGAGGATGAAGAAGGTGACCGGGTTTGGTAGATTGCTTTCGACAGTGGATTCAAATGTAATAGTGCGGTCTGGAAATGCAACCGGAACCTTAAAAAACCGACGATGGACCATGAAATTACTTATATATCCTCAAAAATCACAGTCAACAAACGGTCAAATAAACAGAGGACCAAATTGTGTTAAAATTACAAAGTTAAGGACTTAATTGGGTGAAATTGAAAGTTGAGGACCAATTTGTGAATTTAGCTATAGTCGAGAGACAATTTTGAGTATTTACTCTAATTCAATGGCCTATTTGTACTTTTTACATTTATTTTATTTTCCTCTTTTATTTTTCTTCTTCTTCCCCTTTCTTCCTTTGTCGTTTCTTCTTCTCCCTTTATTCTTCTTCCTTCTCTAGTGGCGTCTGTGTTGCAAGGAGACTTGCCGGGCATGGGAAAGGCGCTTTCATCAAGATAAGATCATGGAGCTGAGAAATGCTCTATACTATCTTATTCTCGATATCCATGCATAACTCGAATCTTTCACTGTTACCCCACAAAATTCCTTTATGCTTCCAACAAACTTACAAAAGGACCTTCAGGCATATCAACTCTAATCACCCTAATACACCATAGTATGAAGACGTCTTTTTCGAACAAGAACAAGCTAAGCTCCAAAATTTGTACTTTTCAAGTGTACACAACTCCAAATAAATAATTAAAACTAAGACCAAAGCACCAAATAAGGAAATTCCTGGTCTAGGAAATCTGATCTGCCCAATAAACTTCTTCTTCCATGCACCTAGCTTAGCACCAACCTTATCAAGCCTCTTCACCATAACCAATTAAGGCCTTGAGATTCCCTTCTTGGATAAAGGCTTCTACCAATCTCCATTCCGCTTTCCTCATCATCCGTAACCGCGACTGTAGTGGGTCCCGCACCGCTGATGGTGCACCCGAAGGCTCCGACCTGAATAGCTGCCTTCTTCACGGCCTCCATCCCAGGAATCAATGGAGCTCTTCTCGGCTCCACGATCTTATTTGATGAAAGCGCATTTTCCCAGGCCCGGCAAGTCTCCTTGCAACACAGACGCCACCAGAGAAGGGAGAAGAAGAAACGGGACAGGAAGAAGAAGAAAAATAAAAGAGAAAATAAAATAAATTTGAAAGGATCAAAATATCCTTCTACTTACAACACTTTATTTTTCTGGTTGAAATTTCGATAATAGGTGGCCGAAAAATTAAACTCCAGAATTAAATCTAATGCTAATTAGAAAGTCATGCACCTAATTTGAAAAAAAAAAAAACCAATAGTCAAGGGACCAAAAATGATATTTTCTCTTTTTTTATATAATCATTTTTTCGTGACTCTTTTTGGGAAGAAAAGGTCACGAAAAGTAATTTTTTTAATCGAGTTTTCGCTATCTTTTTTTCTAGAAAGAGTTACTAAAACTTGAGACGTCTTTTAAATCGCATTCCTATTTTTGTAAAGGGTCATGGTTTCTTATTAATTTATTTATAATTTTGCGATTGCACATTTTTTAAACCAAACACCGCCCTTTAAAAAAAAAAAAAAGGTGACAAAAAGTCTAATATTATGCTCTTTTTGTACTAAAGATTTTTACATAAAAACTACAAAATATATTCGAACCAATAACCTACTAAGTTTACCTAAAATTTAGTTTAGATAATATTAATATTTTTGAGTTAATATTTAAAATATTTTTTTGGATATATTCATTTGAATAGCATGTATATAAATATTTAATTTTTACTTTGAATTAAAAAATATGTGAGATTTCAATATCCAATATCTGGATCAAACATGTATTACAATATAACATAACTAAAAATATCCGAACTAATAATCTATTGAGTTCAATCGAAATCTAAAACATTGTATAGAGTTCAATTCTTAATTTTAATAATGTACGTAATGTCTAACTTTAAAGTGTAATTAAGCAAATAAGTTATGTTTAAATAAGTAAAGTAGAAAAGATAAGGTAGGAGATGGTGATAAGTAAAAGAAGATGATAATGAATGTAATCTTAGTAATGTGGTTATAGTGACATATAACCAAATAGATGATAGATGATTCTGTTTTTCATTTAGAAAACAGTTTTTAAAAGTGTTCCAGCTGTTAAACATGTTTTCTGTTTTCTATTCTCCAATTCTCCAATTTTCCAAAAAATTGCAGAAAATTTCCTCTTAGTAACCGGGCCCTATGGTTTTTAAAATGTGATTCATATTGGCAATTAATATCGTGCACCAGGGCGCGCATTACATTGTGCGCCCTGATTCAAAACGACGTCGTTTCAGATTTTTATTTTTTTGAAATTTCGCTACCTTGTGTTAGTTGGCGGTTATTTTTTTTTTTTATTTTTTTTTTAAATCTCATGTTAAAAAATGTACATAATTTTATACTAGAATACACATAATTGTATACATGAATGTACATAATTGTATAAGAAAATATACATACTTTTTTTAAAAGATAATATACATAATCTAACATAATACATAATACACATAAATTTTTAACACAATACACATAAATTTCCTGTTTCGGATGTACATAATTGTATAAAAAAATGTACATAATTGTATAAAAATGTAAATAATTGTATAAAAAAAATACATATAATTGTATAAAAAAATACACATAATCACATCAACTCCCTACATAACTTACCTAAACGACGTCGTTTTGGGAGGCATGTGCGCCGTAGTGCAGGGTATAACGATTGATTCATATGTTCCGTAAAAACATACTTTATCGATTTGTAATATATTGTCGTAATTTATGAAAATTTTCACGGTATTAAAAGTCAATGTAGAATTCGGTTAACATGTTAGTATATGGTTGATTAAGTAAACTGTGACTATACATTGATGTTGTTGTAGACAAAACCTTGAGCATGCATGTGTATTCTTGCGGGTGCATTTTCGTGGGCTTTGTGTGTACGAACAAGAATTCGGGTCGGGCTCTAGTCAGTTTTTGTCATGCACTCATGTGGCAGAATATAAACACAAGCGTTATATCGTGGATCGCGGTGCATGTAAAGGCACCGTTTCTTTAAGTTAAGAAATGGTAAAGAACAGTCGTTATATCGTGGACCGCGGTGCATAATCGATTATGCACCGCGCATCAAAATGGAGTGACACTACAGTGTATCTAAACCGACACTGCCTCACGTATTATTTTTTATATTATCAAATGAAACTGCAGTTATATCAAAATGATACTGTAGTTGTGGTGAGATGAAACTGCAGTATATATAAAATGAAACTGAATAACATTTCACATATTTGAGTGTATATTGTACAATGAAGCTGTAATTATATCGAAATGATCATGTAGTTGTGCTTTAATGAAACTATAGTCTATATAAAATAAAATTAAATAACCTTTTCACATATTTCAGTGTATAAATATTGAATGAAACTGTAGTTGTGTTGAACTGAAACTGAAGTGTATACAAAATGAAACTGAAGAACAGAGTTATTTTTTGCGCAACGGTGCGGAATGACGCGAAATGGATTCTGTTTCTTTTCATTAAATAAAACGACATCGTTTTGATGCGCGGTGCGTAATCGATTATGCACCACGGTGCACGATATAATTTGCCGTTAGTCGTTATATCGTGCACCGCGGTGCATAATCGATTATGCACCGCGCGTCAAAACGGCTGCGTTTCTACAGTTATAACGGAGTGACACTACAGTGTGTCTAAACCGACACTATCTCACGTATTTTTTTTTATATTATCAAATGAAATTGCAGTTATATAAAAATGATACTGTAGTTGTGGTAAAATCTACAGTATATATAAAATGAAACTGAATAACATTTTACATATTTGAGTGTATATTGTACAATGAAGCTGTAATTATATTGAAATGATCATGTAGTTGCGTTTTAATGAAACTATAGTGTATATAAAATAACACTACAAAAAAATTGGTCATTAGTGAGAGGTAAAACCGTCACTAGAACATCAAAAACCATCATAAAAGACCTTTAATGACGAGAAATTTACCGTCACCACCCGTCGTTATTTCTTCCGTGAATAAAAATAAATAGTGACGGGATATGATACCATCATCAATAAGCATATAATGTATATAAAATAACACTACAAGAAAATTGGTCATTAGTGAGAGGTAAAACCGTCACTAAAACATCAAAAACCATCATAAAAGACTTTTAATGACGAGAAATTTACCATCACCACCCGTCGTTATTTCTTCCGTGAATATTACAAATAGTGACGGGATATGATACCATCATCAATAAGCATATAGTGATAGTATATTTACCGTCACTAAAACGTTCTTTTTACGACAAAAAATCCCGTCGCTAATACAACTACTCAATAACATAATTATATTCTTGTAGTGATAGAAAATCCCGTCACTAAAAATTATAATTTAGTCTCAAATTTCATTTTTCTAATTTTTATATATTATTAATTCTCATTAAATATTAATTTTTCTAATACATTTTTGTCGCACTAATCGATATTATGTTATGTTGTAACTATAGATATTGTATTGGTAAATTTACCATAATGCAATTAAAATAGACTCGATCAATATATTAAAAGATTTCATCATCACTATGAAAATGAAATTTCTCATACAACTTTGTAACAACTAAAGACAAAGAAACTAATTATAACAAATAGTCATAGGAATGTATCTGTTGGCTATTTTGCCTCAAGTATTTGAACTAATTTTGCTCAAGTCTTGCCAGAACAGTGGTGAGCTCAAACCCCTGCTTATCGTCTCACTTCCAGCTTCGAAATCACAAACCTTTGTCAATAAAACCCCAAAATGTTTTAGTATAATCTTAAGACATACAACTTCCAGGCTGAGAATCCATCAAATGATCTATCAATATTTGTAACACAACAAGGAGAAGGGTGACATCTACTATGGCATACGATTAAACAAAAATTTTATGTTAAGAATAATAATAATCATATAATGATAATACAGATTGCAATAGAACTATTCTGTGTGCACATCGCCCTATTCTTTTTCGAAGAAAGGAAGTACAAAATCTGTATGTACAAAGAAGAGCTGTGTGTCCAGGAAGAGCTGTTTCACGCCATACAAATTAAAGACAAATACATTGGCAATTGATTCATTATGTTCGGTTTGAAGCATTCACAGAAGGCAAACTAAAGATTTTGTAATGTTCAGAGCAAAGCATTTGTTGATTATTTCAACAGTTTAGTGACATTATATACATATCTCAGGAAAGAAAGTCAAATATGAATTGAATGGTCCATGATCTTAGTTCACAAGACAGAAAAAGAACCGTTAATATATAACACTGAGCATTAGAAACATACCTTCATAAAAGGTTGATCCCGATAGGGAAAAGATTCGATGAAACTGTCCTTCAAAAGCAATGATACCTATATTAAACATAAAGTCCTGAGTCATACCATCATGCCTCCTCACATACCAGGGATATCAGTGACCTAAAGACAAAAAATATTGTAAGTGAAATTGTAGAAGAAATCATGGAAATATGGGTAAATTTTACTAGCATGGGAGACAATTGCAAACCTGAAAATTTTGGTAGCTCAATGTAATATGGCCCATTAAACTGTTATACACTCAAAATTATTCTGTTGTATAGAATTTAGAATAGAATAGTATACTGTTATACACTTAATTCTTGAAACTACAACAATTTAGTGTATGCATGTTTTGGTGAGCAATCTTGAACAACAAAAATCAAAATCTTTATCATCACCACAATCTAATTAAATTTTAAATATGTGTACCAATTAATTAGTAATAGGACAAAGAGAACGCAATAATTTAATCTTATCCTTAGTTTATAATGAAACCATAAAATGAAAAGCAAATATACCTCATCAATCCAGTCCCACCACCGGGAATTCCGCCGAAATCCGGTTCCTAACAACATTATACATCAAAGGCTCCTGTCGTTCACCTAAAACGCAAGAAAAGATTAAGCAAACAATTCTTTAACTGCTCTCGGCCTCCAGTTTCTGCAGTATTTTGCTTTCAAAAAAAATTCTGAAATAATCAATAACGTATTGATAACAATGATGACCAGGTGAGTGGTGGGATGTAAACTCCATTGATGTCATAAGACAAGCTCAGAAAACTGGATGTCTGAAATAGGAGACTAAGGCCAGCCATGAAACAGTGGTAATTTCATGAGTACTTCTAGTCTCCTATGTGAAATAGTGGTATCAACATGACATAGCTCTATGTGAAACAGTGGTATCAACATGAAATAGGAGACTAAGGCCAAATGCCAGCCTAGAAACTGAATGTCTGAAAGTGATTTTTATACAGAATAGTACTTGATCTGCCAAAAAAGCACAATACCCTCATAATCCCTAAACCAACAATTCTTTAATATTGAGAATACTAAAGAAGTGCCTTCAGGCATTAGTCAAGTCCATGAAACAGCACAAGTGTTAAAGAGCACTCTTGCCAAGCATCAAGAGTACATAAGGAGAAAACTAAAGAATCAAAACTTCAAAATCCATACATGTCTACGCCGTCTTATTGTACACAAGATGTCACTAACTGTTTGGTCCTTTATTAAAAGATTTGCAGACTTGTTGGAGCCAACAGAGAAATTTGACATTGTGATTGACATAGTAGAGTTCTGCTGTAAATTCACATATTACATCAAAACAAAATACTCATAATCAACAAATGCAAGTATAATGGAACACAAAAATAGATCCCCAAGAGGGAAAACTAATAACAGGCAGCTCTAGTTCAACTAAAGAAGTGGAAATTCAAAACAAATCTACTAAAAACAATAGGGAATCCAAGTAGTAGAGATAGAGAAAAACAGAGTAAAGCATTCGAGTTATCAATCTGCAAATGGGCCATCTGACAGAAGAGAAATGCAGAGCTTATTGTTAACTTCTAAACATAGATACTCAAAAGGTTCTTGATCTGACCCTTTTCTTTCATCAAGAAATGGTTACCTTGCCATAATTCGAATGTGAAAGGGGGTTCCCTTTTCAAGGCTTGAATTGAAGTATTCTCCACAGCAAATACTATTCTAAGTATTCATATTCATCCACAACACACATATACATACATAAACAAATATAGAAAACTTCAACTGTAAAAAAAATAGCAAATATAGATAACAAGAAACACTTACCGGTGGTGGGCGAACTGGTCGGCGGCTATCGCAGGGGAGGTAGATCCCTCGTCGGCAGCTATCGCGGGGGAGGCGGAGCCCTCGTCGATGGCATCAGCTTCGTCGCCTTTGTCGGATTGTCGATAGAAACACAACAAAAAAAATAGAAAATAAGATAACAATAAACACTTACTAGTAGTGGGCGAACTGGTCGGCGGTATCGCAGGGGAGGCAGAGCCCTCGTCCACGACTACCGCAGGGAAGGCGGTGCCCTCATCACCTTCGTCGTCGGTTGCAGCTTTGCTTGGAATCTTGGAGGCTAGAGGAAGCGAGGAGGGAGACTTGGATAAGTTAGGGTTTCAAATTTCTTTTTGAAATGACAAAGCAATCAGCAGCCGCTGTGGCGATGGAGGCGGTGGTGGAGGTTCACGGTAGAGCTAGATAGTGAGAAGGGAGAGTGTGGACTGGAGGTTGTGCGTCATATGAGTGAGAGGGGGTTGCGGTGGTGAGAGCTAGTGAGATGCAAGCACCCAAAAACAAAGTTTTGGTGGGAATAGATTTTATTTTGGTGGGAACAGATTTTAGTGAAATAATGTTTACACATCATTAATTCATTAGTGAGATTAATAACATTTTTTTGTACCAATAGTGAGAGCATATCTTTTAAATAAGTATAGAATTAAAATTTTGTCACCAAAGGATTTTTCTTTCCGTCACTAATTTTTTGTCACTAAAATTGATTTTTCTTGTAGTGTAAAATTAAATAACATTTTAACATATTTGAGTGTATAAATATTGAATGAAACTGTAGCTATATCGAAATGAAATTGTAGTTGTGTTGAATTGAAACTGCAGTGTATACAAAATGAAACTGATGAACAGAGTTATTTTTTTGCAAAGGTTCTGTTTCTTTTCATTAAACAAAACGATTTCGTTTTGATGCGTGGTGCATGATCGATCATGCACCGCGGTGCACGATATAATTTGCGATAAAGAAACGGCGCGCCGTTACTGTTAACGGAGCGCGTATTTTCTGGTGTGTTAATTACCAACTGAAACTACAGTGTATCTAAACCGACACTGCCTCACATATTATTTTATATATTATCAAATAAAACTGCAGTTATATCAAAATGATACTGTAGTTGTGGTGAAATGAAACTGCTGCCGTGTATATAAAATGAAACTGAATAACATTTCACATATTTGAGTGTATATTGTGCAATGAAGTTGTAGTTATAACGAAATGATCACGTAGTTGTATTTTAATGAAACTATAGTGTATATAAAATAAAATTAAATAACATTTTCAAATATTTGAGTGTATAAATAATTAAATATCGAATGAAACTATAGTTATATCGAAATGAAACTGTAATTGTGTTGAACTGAAACTGCAGTGTATACAAAACGAAACTGAATAACAGAGGTACTTGAAACAACGCGAAACGGGTGCCGTTTCTTTTCATTAAACAAAATGACGTCGTTTTGAAGTTCGGTGCATAATCGATTATGCACAGCGGTGCACGATATAATTTGCCATATAAACATGAAGCAAATTTTACTCTGAACCGTGGCCTACATAGCATCGTGGACTAAGTAAAAAAGCTATGTCGTTTGAAGTTTTTCGCATTAACATTAGTGGTAGACAGCAAATTCTGTTATGGTCGTTATAGCAACCTCTCTCATTATTCAATTTCATTTTATATACATTGTAGTTCAACTACAATTTCATTTGACAATATAAATAAATTCGATATGTAAAACATACTATTTAGTTTAATTTTATACAATAGTTTCTTTACTGTAAAAAAAAAAAAAGTACAAGTCACAGAACATAATAAACTAACGACTATCATTTTTTTTTTATTAAAAGATGCAGTGACGTTTTGGACCATGGTCAACCGCATAACGATAGTAAACATGAAGGCATGGGTTGGTTCATATGAGATTGAATTTTTTAAAACACGCACACATACTAATCTACAAATCTTCTACAAATCTAATAAGAGCGAATAATGTTAGGCCCTTAACTGGAACAAAAAAAATGTTGGTACTAATTGTTTCTTAAAATGTATGATTCATATTATTTCAATTTTAGTATCTTCTAATGATTTTCCTTATTTACCCTCTATTATATTATTTTATTCCCTTAAATAATCCTAAATTCCGTTAGTTTAAACTTTAGTAACGGAATATTCCGTTAACTATTTATTATTCTTAACATACTCTTAATTTATATAAGGTCTTAGATTCGAACCTCATCCCAAGTATAGTTGGCATAATTGTTAAACATATATTATGAATATGTTAAAATGTATTAAAAAAATACATAATATAAAATTTAACATAAACTTTGGTCAAATAATTAGCTCGACTAAATACATAGCATTCAAAATTGAGCATCAAATATTATAAATCAGGAACTACTTTAAAATCATTTGAGTTTCTTGAATTTTTTATTAAAAAAAAAAAATTTAGGTTAAGTTTTTTTTTTTTTAATTAATCTTCTTCTGATTATTTAGAACAAAACTTAATATTTCAATTATGCTTTTGCATTATTGGAATGATTTAGGCCATTATGGTATTAATATTTTTTGTATTTTTTTATAATGGTACAATTGTACATTACTTTACTAATATTATACTATTATTTTTTTATCGGACAAAATTATTCTTACATCATTGTCAGACCTGCGCGGCCTAACTACACAGTTGTTGATCATAAATACAATTACACATTAACTCTAAAACGGTAGGATCATTTTCGAAATGATTGACAATGTTAACATCCTACTAGCTCCAATTGAACAAGTTTACACATCAAAATTTTATCAATGCATGAAAACTTCTAAAGAAATTTGTAAGTTAATTTTTACTATATCATTATATTAATATCTATTATAACCATATATTTTGAATTATTTATTATCATCCTCTATTGACAGCAATTGTAGCAATTGTTATGGACAAACTCTCAAAACAATTTGTCTCAACAAGGAATGGAAATTAAAAAAAAAATCATTGATTTCATTATTGTTGAAGAAAAGTATGTACGAAACTTTATTACTCTTATTAGTTAAATAAATTAGTAGCTACAACAAAAAATAATACATATGCATTTAATTAATTTAGAATTAGATGTCTATAATGCTTTATTTAAAAAAAAATTATTCATTATAAAAAAATTTAAAAGAAATATAATTTCATTAGTTATATTATCTTTATTTTCTACAATTCAAAGATTCCTTACCTTCAAATTTATTATATTCACTACATTGTTCATTGTCTTCTTTTTTACATTATCTTATAATTAAATATCAAAGTTATAATACAAAACATATTATATATATATATATATATATATATATATATATATTTATTTATTTATTTATTTATTTATTTATTTATTTATTTACCAAGCATTTTATACAAATATAATAAATATTAATATTTTGTTCAATACTTTCACATGATAACCTACGACACACATCTCACAACACATGAAACATGTAGGAAAAAAACTACGTTTACTAAATATCAATTGGTGCATGTTTGTACGCTAAATAGTTCATATTACAACTAAAATCGCAGTCATATACACAGCAAGGCAAATCTAAAACTTCCTACACCATAATCTCATTGCATGATGAATTTCTCGATGCTGCCACCAATAACCTAATTGCACATGACACACTATTAATTAAAAAAAAATGAAAAAAAAAGACATGTACTAAAGATGAAAACAATAACAATGCTACGCAAAAAAGAATTAAGAAGAATTAGAAAAATTTAAACCAAAAGTAGAATTTATTTAGACTATCACTTTAAGACTAAGTATTTAGACTAGCATTATTACAAAGTTGCAAACATTTATTTTAGTGACAATTATAATCCATCTCTCATATATTATCTTGCATTTATATACTTTAAATTACCGATTTAAATAAACAAATTCAACATTTATTTACCTATGCATGAACATCTCCTATATAATATTGCATTGATATACTTTGGAATATTTATTTAAAAATAATTATTGGGCATTATCTCATTCGCGCAAATCGCGTAAAAAAACTAGTACTAATCTAATAAGAGTCAATCAAGTTAAGCTTATAACATGAACTAAAAGATGTTGGTCCAATTATTTTTTGAAATGAATGATCGATATTATTTTGGTTTTAGTATTTTTTTTATTATTACTATTCTATACAATTTGTATTGCGTGATTAGGACCGAAAAAAATAAAAATAGATAAAATATTTTTGGAGTTTTTTTTTTTTTTTTTTTTTTTTTTTTTTTTTTTTTTTGACCTTCTGTTTGAAAGGCTAAAGTGATGCCATTAAACCACAAGGTAATTTGACATATTTTTAGAGTTAATAATCAGTCAAATACTTTAAAGACAACTATAATGTATATATATTGAGTTAATACCTCCAATGGTCCTCCGAGTATTAGCCATATACCAGCTGTGGTCATCCAACTTTTAAACGACCACGAGTCGTCCTCCATCTTTTAAAAAAGGGAAAATTGTAAAAAATATCCCTCTATAATATGTCAATTATCAATGTCACCCCTGAATTATGAGTGGTGTAAATGTTGCCCCTCAATTATCAAAACGATGCATATATAGCCCCTCTCGTAACGGATATGTGGTTCCCTGTTAGTGTACGACACTGTTAAGTTGGAGTAAATATGTAATTTAGTTGTTTTTTCCTCCCTCGATTCGAAGTACCAACGATGGACAGTGGTGGGGAACCACCGGTTCGTTACGGGAGGGGTTATATGTGCACCATTTTGATAATTGAGGGACAACATTTACACCACTCATAATTCAGGGGTGACATTGATAATTGGCATATTATAGAGGGGCATTTTTTTACAATTTTCCCTTTAAAAAATAACCACCCATGGTCCTCTGTTAGATTTACTGTCAAATGGGTCTTAAGTGTGAGGGCGAATTTATCATTTCACCTATATTATCCATGGTCTCCCTATCAGCTTCTCCGTTCGACGATGACGATGAAGACCTCAGTTTCCTCGAATCCGACGACGAGAACGATGGCGCAACGAAACACTCACCAATCGGATCCTCACCACTTCAG